AAAAAAAAAAAATTTAAAATGAGTCAGGCTATCCAGCTCCTGACTGGATTCTTCCCCCTTCTGACTTGTCAGAAACTGCGCGCGCCCGTGAGTGTGTGTGTGTGTGTGTGTGTGTGCAGCACCTCTAATGCCATTTTGTAACAGTGGGGTCCTGGTCTCCCCTGCACCAGGAGGTATTGACCTGAGGCCCCCATTGGTGCTGTTTGGTTGTGTTGAGGGGTCCTCCCCACCCTGGAAATAGACCTACAGTGCCCCAGGATGGGGGCCCCCACTTTTCAGAGGACACTGACCTTGGCGGTACTTTCCACCCCCAGCTCTGGGGCTCCATCTGCCCACCACTCCACCCCTCAGAGGACCTTGCCATGTGGGATTCAAGGATCACTAGAGATGAGGGGGCCCCTTGCACCTCCTGTCCCCGGTGGGTATGGTCCTGGCCCGTCCAAAGTGCAGGCAGCTGGGCAGGTGTGAACCTCAGCTCAGGGGTGCTGGGGCAGGACCAAAGTCTCCAGGGCGCCCCCAGCTGCAGGGGAGGGGGGGAGCGACAGCTAACATTGGGTGCCCAGCCTGAGTGGAAGGACATAACATGGCCTGGCCCTCCATGTCCTGTTGCCATTGAGGAAAAAGGCCCAGAGAGGGTGAGCACCTACCCAAGGGCACAGAGCACTGGGCCTGGAGCTTAGGTCCCTACCCCGGGTGGTCAGAGGCAGGAAGGTGGAAGGATCCGGTGCAACTGTGGTCTCATGAGAGGCGGCGGCGGACCCGGAGGTGAGGGAGCGTGCGGGGGACACACGGCTCTTGGAGCCCAAACCTCAGCGTGTTGGGGTCCCTTCAGCCATAGGCCTCTAGGTGGGGGAGGGAGGGGGGGCGTCCCATGCTCTACCCCGGCCGCCTCCCCGCACCCCGGGCCACGTAGGCGTGCGCGGTCGGCGCCGGTCTGTGTCCGCGCTCTGGTCTCTGGGCCCCTCGGTACACTCCTCCAATGGTCCCCCAGGAAGTTAGGGCGGGCGGGGTCGCAGCCGGAGCCCGGCGACCCTCCCAGCGGCTCGCGGGACTCCGGGTGGGGACTGCGGGGCCCGGACGGGACGGGGCGGGGCGGGGCTTCCGTGGTCCCGCCCCTCGCGGCCCCGCCCGCCGGGGAAAGTGAGTTGCGTGGGCGCCGCGGCGGGGAGCGCAGTGCCGGGAGCGGAGCTCAGAGCCGAGGGGCGCCGCGTGCTGCTGGCCCGGGGGTGAGTGCCCCGGCAGGGGTCTGCAGAGCCCGCAGCCCCGTCTGCCACCCTCGCTTCGCCCTGCGCCCGGAAGGGGATCTTGGAACCCCCACCCAGCTGGATCAGTGGATGAGACTCAGTCTGCCGGCCCGCCCGCCGCCCGCCCGGTGTCAGGCCTTGGTGGGGGCCACAGTGGCGAGGAGGAGGAGGGGGAAAGAGAAGAGGAAGAGGATGATGGGGAGTTAACAGCCACTAACTACTGAGCCCAAGTCCGCTGGGCCTGGTGGCGCGCTGGTGGCGCTCAGGGCTTTCTCTGTGGCATCTTCCTCGGAGGGCGGGACCCATTCTACAGATGAGGAAATTAAGGCCCACCCAACTACAAAGAGGGAGAGCTAGAGGCAAATAGGGTCACTCCAGCTCCAGAGCCTACTGGTCTGGAATAGAAGAGGCCTCGGGCCCTCCCCTGCAGTCCAGCTTTCATCCCTGGGTCGGGGGCTTAGAGGAGAGATCTGGGGGTTCCTGGAGTTGGCCTTGGCCTCAGTCCCTGAGGGACCAGAAGGAGGGGATATAGAGTGAGGAGAGGGCTGCAGTCTGGACCCTGAAGGCCACAGAACTGAGGAAACTTCATTTGCTCCATCAAAGGGACTGGGGTGGCCCCTGGCCTGGGTAGGGACCAGGGAGGATGGGGGGAAGGGGTGAGCCAGTGGAGTCCTAAAATGTGGGGGAGGGGTCTGACCAGCTCCCTACACACCGGGCCCACCCCAGCTTGTCCTTGTCGCCAAGGGAATTGCCGAGGGTGAGGCCCTGTGAGTGAAGGGTGCAGCGTGGGGCCGCTGGACCCTTGGATCCCCAGACCTGGTTCCCTACAACCCTCCAGCCTTTCAGGGTGCTCAGGGCAGAGAACACATATTTCCTCTGAGCACATATTGTGCACTGGGACTTCCAGACCCGCAGCCCCAGGGCCGGGCTCCTGCCTGGCTCGGCCACCTGCTGACCACCTGATCCCAGACCTCAACTCTCCAAGGGCATTGACCCGTCTGTAAAACAGGCCTACGGGGTCCTCTCCCCCCAGGATTGCCGTTAGGCTTAAGAGGTAGTATGGGTAAACTCTCATTATTTTTCCTCCCTACCCAGGTCCTGTCTCTCCTGGGGCTGGCCAAGTCCCATTTACCCAAAGAGGAAGTGAAAGTCCAGAGAGGGTGAGAGACTCCCCCAAGGTCACGCAGCCAGTCACAGTTTGGGCAGGGCTCTGAACCCTGGTCCCTGGCCTTCTGGGGATGGAACCCAGCCCCTCCTGCCCACCCTTCCCTGTCCAAGGCCCAGTGCTTCTGCGGCCTCGGGCTGCCTCTCAGCCTTTTCTCCTCTTCCAGGCTGGGGCCGGGGCTGCATTCCCTCATTAGACTGAAGTAACCCAGGCCCCGGGGGGCAGAAGTGACCAGCTGGGCTGGCCCCAACCGGCCCAGACAGCCGGCAGGGCCTTTGGTGCCAATTGGTCACCCTCTCAGTTGGGGACCTCACTCGTGTCTGTCCCCTTCGCCCACAGTTTGAGAGCTAAGGAGACTGAGTCCCACAGAGGGGAAGTGGCTGGCCCTGGGCCCCCAGAGCAGGGGCCATGGAGTCCTGGCTTGTGGGCCAGGGCATCTGCGGGGCCTCCTCCCTCGGCGTTTGGGCAGGGCCCCGGCGGGCCCTTCCTTCCCGTTTCAGTTTCCAGTTTCATTTTGTGGATTTCGACACCTGGGAGGCTGTTCCGCCCCAGTGTAGACAGCAGCTGCCAAGCAGTCCGGGCCTCAGGGGCATGTCTGCCGCCAGGCATCTCGGGCCTCAGTGAGGGGAGCCGGCGGAGACCCCACCCCCTCAGCACACACCCAGATACCTCAGGGAGGGAGCAGGGCTCCAGCTGCCCGTGCGGACAGGCCCAACCTCAGTGCTGGGTGTCTGGGTCACGGATGGGCGCTCCCTGGTGTAGAAGGACAAGGGCTCGTGGCCAGCAAGGGCCATGGCACTTAGGAGGCCGGCTGCCGGAGGTGACCCTTGGCCTGGGGCGCCGAGGGTGATCAGGATCCCAGGTGAGGGCAGGCCACAGAGGAGGGACAGTGGGAGCAGAGGGCAAGTGTGAGAAGAGCCGGTGCCACCAGCGGTCAGGGGTGGGTGTCCGGGACAGGGCAGAGGCCGCTGGGAAAGAGCTGGAGTGAGGTCGGGCCGTGGCTCAGGCCGTGAGGTCGGTCCGTTCCCAGTTGCACGCTTATTTCCTGTGTGACCGCAGCACCCCTTTGAGGCTCCCCAAGCCTCAGTCTCCCCGTCTGTCAGATGGGGTTGGTGGCGGGACCTTCCGTGGATTGAGCCGCGGCGGACGGAATCCCTACTCGACGGGGAGCCGTCTGTGGTCCCCGCCGACTGAGCCCTCACCCCCTGCCCGTCCCACAGGACCATGGGCTCCATGTTCCGGAGCGAGGAGGTCGTGCTGGTGCAACTCTTCCTGCCCACCTCCGCTGCCTATACCTGCGTGAGCCAGCTTGGCGAGCTGGGTCTCGTGGAGTTCAGAGACGTGAGTGGGGCCGGGCGCGCGTGGGGGCGGGGCTTGTCCTTAGGCATCCTAGATGGTGCGCCGCCACCGCCACACGGCCCCTGGCTGTGCCTGAATCCCAGCAGCCTCTGCCGTAGGTCCTCTGCTCCCTGAAAGGCCAGCCTTACGCACGGCTGGGCCATCTCGCCTCCTGGGCCCCGTCACACCGTCCCTGGGGCGCGCAGAGCCTGGTCCGTCTCCAGCTGGGCATCTGGAGGTTCATGGTGTCCTCACACCTTTTGGTGGGGGGAGAGGGAGGCAGCCATGGCCTGTAGAGAGCCAAGCCTGGGCCCTTGGGTGGGGACCTCCCCGGCCCCCTCCCCAGAAAACTGACGCCTTGGCGCGGCGACCACAGCTCAATGCCTCGGTGAGCGCCTTCCAGAGACGCTTCGTGGGGGATGTTCGACGCTGCGAAGAGTTGGAGAAAACCTTCTGTGAGTTGGCCCCGGGCCCACATCCCAGGCAGGCTTCCCCGGGGAGGTGCCAGTCGAGCTTGGGCTAAAAGGAAGAGTCCTGGTGCCCCAGGTGGAAGGCAGAGAAGAGAGGCCCAGGCCCTGCAGAGCCTGGATAGGGCAGCTGGGGTCTGTGGGGGCGTTCTTGACAATGGGGCTTGCTTGCAAGAGACCTCGAATACCGCGTGAGGGCTAGGAATTCATCCAGTGGTTGCTGGGAGCCAGCATGGTTTCTAAGCACGGGAGGGGCTCAGACAGAGCTTTCTTTGCCACAGATGGACTGGGGTGGGCAGAGGCCAGTATCCAGGGGCGGGTGCCCCAAGGAGCTGCTGCTTCTCTAACCCAGACAAGAGGGACCCCTGCCCTGGACCACCGCTGTGGGGCCCAGGCCCTGGGTGGGGGCCATGGCCAGGGCACTGGAGCGGGCAAGCAGTCCACACAAGCTTGGGAGGAGATACAGGCTTGGCCTGGGGTTTTTCTGGGGGTCTTGGATCCAGTGAATCGATTAGCCGGTGG